CTGCTTGAGCAAGGGGTTGGACTAGAAGACCTCCAAGGTCCCTTCCCAGTCTGTTATTCTATACATTTTCATTTCATTTCTATGAAAATGTTGCCAAGAAAATTCCAAGGAGCTATCCATGAAGTCAGCAGGAATCAAGGATCAGAACAGTATCTGGAGGATCTCAAATTGGAGAAGAAATGTATCATACAAGCCAACTTGGTATAAACATCTTCTCTTTGTCCCCATAGTGGAAGACCTGGAGCGAAATGAAGGTTCCCAGGAGAAGCCATATTATATATACGTCCAAGTCTCTTATGAAGATCCTGAACAACAAAAACAACTTCCCTTCCAACTATTATTTTGTCATATTAAAATTTCAAGGTAGGTGTCATGGTTCCGATTAACATTGGATGTTCTTGCTTTGACAATAGGCTTATGCAAGTAGGCCATCTCAGTGGTCAGAAGGGAAACAAATGTCATGCCTGAGCAACCATTTTACACCTTCTTATGTCAGGGATGAGGGACTTCTGGCCTATAATGATAGCTTATCATATTTGCAGAATTTCAAACAAGGCCTCTTTTTCTGTCACAGCAGGAAGAGTGACACTCGAGCTAAACTGCCTCAAAATGTTGTTGCTCAGCCATTATACCCTTCTTTCTTCCGAGAGCCAGCTTCTCACCATCATTCTGGATTTAAATATACTCGGAAAATATTAAATGTGTAGTATTTTGGGGTCATCTCAAGAACTAGCATCGTTCCCCACATTAGACAACATCTGTGTCACTCTTGGCTCCGCTACCCAATACTGACCCTTTGAATTGGAGAAGCTTCTGCAGGTAACTTGGGATTTCAACCTCAGATTCTGGTGCTTTGCTATCAAGCTTCTAATCTGAAGAAGTATTGGGCTAATCCAAACTTCCAGATGTTCTTTAACTACAAATCCCAGAATCCCTCGCCTTGGCTTTGCTGGCTCAGCTGTTGGGAGTTGTAGTTCAGCTACAAAGGGAGAACCCACAGGTTGTCCATCTAACCAACAAGGAACACAAGCTCCTAAGTTCTGATCCGGAACAACCCAGATCTTTGGTTGTTCCCAAAGAGGATAATGCATGTCCCTTTCCTCATGATGGTTTACCTCTAATGCTTGGTCTCTATCTTTCAGACGCTGGGCCATCTGCTTGATCAGGGTTTCCACCTTGGGGGCATTCACTCCAGGCGATCTGAGTGATGACAGGATGACCAGGCAGTCCTGGAGAAGAAAAATCGGACAAAAGGATCAGAGTTCCTCTCCCAAAGGACCAAATTCCTCTTTCCCTCCTTTCCTTCCTCACTTTCACCTTTTCCTTTTTATTACTATCTGGGATATTATTTAATATCTAGTGGACGATCGCTCGACTATGAGCCAGCAATGTGCAGCAGCAGCCAAAAAAGCTAATACAATCCTGGGTTGTATAAACAAGAGGCATAGAATCAAGATCATGTGAAGTATTAGTACCGCTTTATAAAACCCTAGTAAGACCACACCTGGAATATTGCAATCAATTTTGGTTGCCATGCTACAAAAAAGATGTTGAGACCTTGGAAAAAGTTCAGAGAAGAGCAACTAAGATGATCCAAGGCCTGGAGAGTAAATCATACGAAGAACGCCTGCAGCATTTGGGTTTGGCTAGTCCAGGGGTAGGCAACCTTGGCTCTTTTATGACTCGTGGACTTCAACTCCCAGAATTCCTGAGTCAGCATGGCTGGTTCAGGAATTCTGGGTATTGAAGTCCACAAGTCATAAAAGAGCCAAGGTTGCCTACCCCTGGGCTAATCTAAAGAAAAGAGGAAATAGGAGTGACATGATAGCAGTGTTCCAGTATTTGGGAGGCTGCCGCAAAGGAGAGGGAGTCAAATTATTCTCCAAAGCAGCAGAGGGCAGGACAAGAAACAATGGTTGGAAACTGACCAAAGAGAGAAGCAACCTGGAATTAAGGAGAAAGTTCCTAACAGTGAGGACAATTAACCAGTGGAACAGCTTGCCTCCAGAAATCGTGGGTGCTCCATCAGTGGAGGTTTTTAAGAGACTGGACAGTCACTTGTCTGAAATGGTATAGATTCTCCTGCTTGGGGGAGGGGCTGGACTAGAAATCCTCCAAGGTCCCTTTCTATTCTATTCTATTCTATTCTATTCTATTCTATTCTATTCTATTCTATTCTATTCTATTCTATTCTATTTATTTTATTTTATTTTATTTTATTTATTTTATTTTACAGGATTTATATGCCGCCCTTCTCCCCATGGGACTCAGGGCGGCTCACAGCATATTAAAACATCATACAAAAAGATTTCCCCTACTAAAAACCAATTAAAACCCAAATATTGGTAGCTGTGGCTCTTTAAAATCGTTAAAAATTGTCCCTATTTAAAACTCACCCTAGGTCAGGCCCGCTTGTTGAAAAAGCCATGTCTTGAGGGCGCGGCGGAAGGTTAAGAGATCCGGAATCGTCCGGATCTCGGGGGGTAGTTCGTTCCAGAGG